GTTTCAGGCCCCTACATAATTTAATCAGAAAGGACAGCATTCTTGCCTGATGAGACTTAGCAGAATGAAAGCAAGAGATAGTCACAGCAGATCTAGCAAGTGTCCCTGCGGCTGACGACAGCTCGAGCATAGCTGTGCGCATAGATCACCCACATAAGCCATCCTATCTCACTCTCCCGGTGGCTGCGCAGAGCACAGATAATGCCCATCACCTAAGCAGTCTTGGGCTCCCAGGAGGCCCGGGCGCCCTACAAGCCTGCTCTATCAAAAAGCCATTTGTCTTGCAGCCAACAAAAGGCAACACTCTCCAAAGTTTAAGCTCAAGATCCTGGAGTCCCACTGGCAAAGCCCCACTTTAAAATCAGGAGTGTTTGAAATGCCTGTACGACGTAGCCGTTTAAAAGACCATTTTTAATCGCATAGCTTTTTTTTTTTGCTTTTTTTTTTTTTTTTTTTTTTTTTTTTTGAGACAGAGTCTCACTTGTTGCCCAGGCTAGAGTGAGTGCCGGTGGTCAGCCTAGCTCACAGCAACCTCAAACTCCTGGGCTCAAGCGATCCTCCTGCCTCAGCCTCCCAGTAGCTGGGACTACAGGCATGCGCCACCATGCCCAGCTAATTTTTTCCTATGTATAGGCTAATCGCATAGCTTTAAAATGAATTTCTTCCTGTCCAGTGTAGTAGAGGTCAAACATAGCTGATTTAAATACTGCCTATAGCCAAGATTAGTAAGACCTTATTAATGCATACTCTATTCATTTGGAAGTTGTTTATGTGTGTATATACATCACTTGGGCAGAGCCAGATTGACATTTGCCTTTGAACTATCTTTGAAAAAGAAATTTACAAAGCATGCAGTATAATTAATATTGCACAAAAAACGCCCAATTTAAATACTCCCGTTCAATCTCTCTCATTTATTCATTAAAGAGTTGCCTAAAGACATCTTTCTCGAACTATTTTCTTACTCTAGGATCAGAATACTGTGTATTCTTTAAAGCAACACAAAATTTAATTTCTTTCTGTGATTTTGAATATAGATTTTTCCACTGGCTGTTTTTGTTTTCTAAACCCCATAGCGGGCTTCCAGAGGAAGTGGAAACGATGAGACGAGGTCAAGCCGGCAGAGCAGGGCAGCCCGGTGGGAGGCAGGACAGAGGCTGTTGGGGGGAAGGTGCACAGAGGCACCCGGGCTTGGACCCCAAGTGTGAGACCTCGTCTCGGGACCCCAGGACGGGGATGAGCGGCTCCCGGTACACACGAGGACACAACCTCTGTTTGTTCTAGACTCTGGGAAAGTACCCTCTGAGCTCTCATCAACAGTTCCTTTGCAAGGTGTTGGGTTGGATGACATTTTTGTCTAACCTTTTTCACACGCATGGGGGTGAGCACCACGCTGTTTGGCTGAAAGACTGAATTTTAGGCGAATAAAAGGAATACGAGGGGAATTATATCGGAGCCTTCAACAAATGGCACTAATTGCCGTGGTCCCAAAGCATAACAAATGCAAATTAGACCAGGGGAACCTTGGGGGATGGATGCCTCTGGACTGACCTGTGCCCCACCTCTGGGGACAGGAGCCATGCAGGGAAACGGCCGGAACGGGCAGGCCGTCGCTCACCGGACCGGAAACGTGCTCGCGCCGCTCTGCTCTTTAGTCGTCGTTGCACGGCTCCCCGCGGCAGGCTGGAGGGCACGCCACCCACCCTGCCAGGGCCCCTCTGGTGCAAGGAAGGGAGGCCCCCTCAGGTTTCTCAAGGAATGAAAACGTCTGAACCCTGCTCCCGAAAAGTCCTGTGGCTGGGGGCAGCGTGCACTCTGTCTCTTTCTTGATACTCCACTGCCTCTCACCTGCTGTGTCCTCAGACTTCAACATCCATGCGACAGTGCCTGAGCGTCAATCTCGCACTGCTAACTTGTGCCGGCATTCCATATCTGACGCTCTGATCCCCAGCAAGGACCTCAGAATGTGACCCCTTGGGAGATAAGGCCTTTACTGGGGAGAATAGGTGAAGATGAGGGCGCTTAGCGCGTGGCCTATGCGAACTGGACTGCGTCCTTGTACACAGCAAGTTGGACATGGACTGCACGAAGCACGAAGACGTTGAAGAGACGCAGGGAGAAGGGCGCAGCGACTAGCCAGAGGCCCAAGGTAGATCAACAGCTGCACACTGGCCTGCGGGATTTCGCCTGCAGTCTGTGCGAGGCAGTGCGTCTCCTCTCTGTCGTTTATCGCGCCGGTCCGTGGCGTTTGCAGGGACATCCCGACTGACTACACACTCTCCAGATATTTCTTATCTCGATCTTCTAGTCTATTCTTCTTTCTATCTTGCTTCAACTTTTCGTATAAGATTCCTCCTGTATGCTTCGTTTCATAAACCTGCTCGACAGGTGTTTATTCGTTCTAGAGCTTGTCTGGTGCTATCGGCGGTCTTGGGGCAGTGGACCCTGACTGCTCAGCTTTAAGCTCAGGGCTGGGGATGGACAGGTGCTGAGGATTGCACTTTTAGGTATCATAGTTATCTTGGATTTTACATCTCTACTGATCCACAAGTTCACTGAAGCATTGCCCCCTCCCCAGCGACCTAATGTATTCCAGGTTCGTGATGGGCTACGACTGCTTACTGGTGGCCCCTCTATGTTCAGACAGGCACTGGCATCTACCATGTCATTTTACTGCCTTTAAAGAAAGCATTGCACAGAAGTAAAAGGGTGGCCGCCAGAGGCTGGGGCAGGTGGGGACAGGGAGTTGGTGTTTAATGGGGCCAGAGCTTCAGTTTGGGATGATGGAAAGTTCTGGAGATGGAAGGCAGTGATGGTTGCACAACATTAATGTCCTTAATACAACCAACTGTATACCTAAAATTACTTAAAATGGTGAGTTTCATGCTATGTCTATTTTGCAACAATAAAAAATAGAGTAAATTTTGAGGAGTGTGCAATTTAATGAAGATGAGCTTTCTGCTCTCACGGAGCCCAAGCTACCTGGTTTGATTGGGGAGACCCCTTCCTGCTGCTTGCCGGAACCTGCTACGCTCACGGAGGGCTGCTCTGCCAGCCTTCAGGGCCCTCTGCTGAATCGTGGGCTCCGAGCTAATTAGAAAAAGCTCCAGGCAATGGAAAGATACTGGATAGCACATGCCCAAGGGGCACCTCGGATGAACTAAAGAAAAACCCAAATGAGTGGCTTCAAGTGACCCTGCCACTCAGGCCAGAATCTTGTCATCAGAATCAGTCAGGGTCCACCCCAGGACACAGGTGACTGCAGAGAGCGAATGGTCGCACTCACTCCCTGAGTGCAGATACCAAGATGATAATTTTCACTTATATGACGTTGCATATTTCTCAGTAATATACTCCGCAACTACCTTTCCGGCTTAGGATCCTAGACGTTTTTCCCCCATTGGGCAATCGAAACGGGACAGTTAAAATAGAAAGGTTGCCAGATGCATAATTCATTCGGAGACACAAAGATGAAACAGCCCAGTTCTCCTCTTCATACCCTCAGGAAGTAGAGGCTAGAGAAGGCGCTAAATGTATTCTGTGCCCAGATATTCTGAAATAAAAACAGGAGAAAAATCAATGTCTTCCTGCTCACCATCCCGTCCCCGGCAGTGGAGACAAGAGAAGAGGGGGGGATGACGGGTGGGGGCAGGAGTGAGTCTGGAGCTTGGCGGCTGCGGGGCACAGACGCCCAGGGTGGCCCTTGGCAGGCCCCTCCGCATGGCGTAGTGAGGGAGACCTGCCACCTGTTCAGGAAGAGGGGGCAGAATCCCTCGGGCAGAGGGAGGGAGGCGAGGGCCCGCCCGCCAGCGTGCAGGGGCGCGGGGTGAGAGGCTCAGGGGGGAAATGCAATCGCGAGAGGGGGCGGCATTTTAAAATGAAGCCTTCGAATGCAGGCAGAAGAGAATTTTCCATCACAGGCTTCACTGGGTCCCATTTACTTGTGTAAACGTGTGTGTGTGTGTGTTTAGATATGTTCTGCCTCTATTTTTCACATAATATGTCAACATGCATTTGTATGATGTGACTGGCTTGGTTTGGCTTCCTGACGTTGGTGGCTGCTCTGTCTTACTTTTAAAAGATTTTGTCCTTTACGATGAAGAAGAAAAAGCTCTCCCCTGGTAGACCCTCTTGGGGGAGCAGGTTGCTATTCCTTTCCTCTCAGCAGCCAGAGACGTGAAGGTGAGCGCAGGGTTTGCAGATCCTCAGGTCCCCAGACGCCACCTCTCCTGGTGGCTGGGCTCGGGCAGGGCGATGGGCGCTCTCCCACACACACACGGCCCCTGATGTACAGGCTGCGGGAAGGGGGCCCCGGACGCCAACGGGGCATCCGTAAGAATGACCAGGGCGCATGCACTCTCTGCTGTGCCTCCCAACTCCAATCTGCATGTGATCCCTCACACCAGCAAGCTCGCCCAGCGGGGAAGCCTGGCGCTGCAAGGGATTCGGTGGTCAAACCAAACCTCCGAGATCCGAGTGGGTGCAGGGACTGGAAACGTCCCTGGGGCTCTATAGCAGATGCTCGGGTGCAGACCAGGAAGACAGGTGGGTGAGCTGGGCTGGATGATGAGGCCAGGGAAGCTGCTGAGCCAGAGAGGCCAGACTGAGGCTCTCCCAGACACAGGCAGCTGAGGGACCAGCCCACGCCCACCTAAGCCCCCTCGGACACTCCTTCCAGGCGCCTGTTCCCTCCTGGGGCGTGAGCAAGCCCCTTCCTCACCCTGGGCTGGTGCCCCTCACCGTCCCAGCATTCTTAATAACAGAGTTTAGATTTCATCAGAAGCTAGGAGGAAGGACTTAAAAATTATAGTACAGTCTTACACTGTGTTGCCGACATGCGGAGAAGCAGGCGTTGTCAAATGAAGTGGTAAAAGTGTCACAATTCTTTCGCATATTAAGGTAGCAATCCGTACTTGGTGGGGGAAAAGCTTAAAATCATGCTGCCGTCGGACCCAGTAACTCCACCTTCAGGAATTTATCCTAAAGGAAAGCCGGATACTCATATTCAACGTATACAGGGATATTTATTGTTCTAATTATAATGTTGCAAATTTGGAAACAACCTAAGAAATAAAAATATTAGGCTGCCATTAAAAATCAGGGTTTCAAGAAATATTCGAAGGTGTGAAAAAGGGCTCCTGATACAAAAAGTTAACTGCAAAATATAAAACTCTTTTTACACAGCATGGCCCCGATGTTACATAAATGTGACAAACACACAATTGGAAAACAGGCTGGAAGGAAATATAAGAAATGTTCATCTCGTCTCTGGACATGTAGACTACAGACTAATATTTATTTTTTCTTCTATTTCAGCAAAAATTTCTTTAAAATTCCCACAGTGTATTTCATTTCACTTTAATAATGGGGACAAGGAGGGAATGCTGTATTAAAAGAGGGAAAATGAGTCATTATCAATTAAGGCTTTCCTCTTGACTGTCGATGTCATGTGCTGTGTTCAACTGAAATCCATCTTGTCACATGTAAAGACTCCGAGAGTGCCCTCTTCCACGGTGCCTTAGGATGGCACTCCTTTCCAACATGCTGATGGGTGGCATGAGTCTAGCTCAGCACCTGCCTGGGTAGGTGCTGGACACGGGTAAATTCCTCTTCCTCCCAGCCCCTTCTCCGCCCTTCCCACCTCTTTCCCGAGCCTTTGGACGCCAGTCCCCATCATCTGCCCCTGAAGCAGGTCAGACGGTAGAACCTACGTTCACCAACCTTGTGTCCTCTGGCCTCTCACGTTCCTGGCTTGTGAGAGAAGCCTCTTGGCCCTGAGCCAGCCTGCCTCGTGTGGAAAGGTGGGAAGAGCGACAGGTGCAAATCTAGGAGAGCCATCCATGGGCTCCGTGGAAGCTGGTGTCACCCTCCCTTAAAGACCTGGGTGGGACGTGCAAACCCACTCTTCTCGCCATGGAGGGGAAGGGGCTTGTACCGCCCTAGAGGCTCCTGGCTCCTGTCTCCACAGGGATTATCTCCTCCCCTTGGGAAGAAGAGAGGAGAAATGAGTGTCCAAAACGGCCAGTGAATTGCAAGGTGGTACCCATCGCCACCCCTAGCTGGGCGGGCAAACATACAGGGATTGCAGCCTGGCCCGCCCGGCTCCTGCCCCAGCAGGCATGGCAGGGGCCGCTGTGGAGGGCGAGGCAGTGGCCAGCTCCTGTGGGTTCTGGGTCTCTGCTGTGTCCTACCCACATTCCTGTTGACAAAGCGATCTGTAACCAGCTCAGGTCTTTGTGTGCACGCCCTGTTAGAACTGCTGATGGCGGAGAAGCATGAGTTGTGTCCTGAATATCCAACATTCACCATTTACTGCATATTATATGTTAGGTAAATAATATTATATGTTTATTATATATGAATACATTTTATATATATAATATTCCTCTCAGTGGACACTGGGAATGATAGTATACGTAGCATACAAGAAGCATAACAAAAAGCTTTAAAAGGTAGGATTTCAACTAAGTGATTTTAAATACACTCAGCCACCCTTTTGTACCCGGTTAGTAAAGATTCTGAAGATGGAAATCTGGGAGCATCTTTGCGGTGGGCCCAGCCAGTTTCTGGAACATCCGATTGCTGCTAACAAATAGCCTTTTAGTGAATTAAGTGCAAATGAATCGGAAGCTTATGGATCATGTTCTCGACGAAACAAACAAAAGATCCAAAATTTATAAGAAAAGGTGCTTGGCAAACCCATTCTAGTTTGTTGAACCCAAGCATTTGAAAAATAGTTTGATTAATTTTGCCAACTCAAAACCCTGCCAAGTTTCTAATATCCCTAAGTATTTACTAGCATTTTTCCAGATGGAATTTCCTATCCATATTTCTAAATGTTCCTGGCCATTCTGCCGATGATTATTTGGAGGGCTTTATGTGCACAGCAATGGTACTCCCTATTCTTTGAGAATTCATCCAATGTCATACTAACTTTTGCACAGTTCTATAGCTCACAAAATTCTTTCAAGACTATCATTCCATTTCATGCTGACAGCATTACCCTAGGAGACATATATCACCGCCCTCTCCACAGATGACGAAACTAAGGCTGAGAGAGGTTAAATGACTTCATCGAAGCTACAAAACCAAAAATTGCAGAAACGAGGATTAAAGTCCAGGTCTCCTGGTCGCAAATCTACACCAAGGAATAGGAGGAGTGCGCTAAGCTCTGAGACTGCTCTCATCGGGTTCTTCCAAAGACGTAAATCTGCGAGACACTTGCTAGAAGAACAAGTACCGTCTAAGAAGATAGAACAGACCCTGCAAGGGTCAGGACAGAGGACCTTGTTCTCCAAGCAATCGAGTCAACTGGCCATGACTACTTCATGCTACTCTCTGTTCTCGCTTCTGTTTAGACCACCTCACTCGGAACATTCTCTCTCCACTTGGGTCCTTAATACACAAGTAGCATAACTCATCATTCTGAAACTCACCTGGATATTAATAGAAAGGCCTCAAAGCACTGGAATATACATGTGAAGAATGTCAACCAAAATGCCAGTGTGAGCAAACAGTGTTGTCAACAAAGATGTGTCCCAATTTTATTAAGCAGATACACCAAGATTATACAAGTTCTGTACTCCAAGTAAGTGATAAAGTGATCGGTCCATCTTTTGCAACACCTCCCAATTTAGTATTCAGGCATTTAATTAATGTTCTGTTTACACCCTACTTCCAGATCATTAATAAAGATATTTAATAGAACTGAAGCTCATACCTGTCTGTACGCACAGACCCCACTGGGTTCCTTCCCCCAGGTGGTCCTGCCCTGCTTTCCACCGCAGCAGCATGCACGGACCCAAGAGCCTCAGTGTCACCATCTATTTAAAATCCCCAGGATAGCCCACTCTGTGACCTCACACTATACCTGTGATGTGCTGAGGACATAGGGACACTGGAGAGGAGTCATTTTGCCAGAGGAAGACGCCTGAAAGTGACCCAATAGCAGGCCCCTCATTGGAGGGCAGAGGCAGTTGGAAGTCTCACCCAGGAGGTCTGAAGCCCAGCAGGCCACCTCCCAGAGTGCCTACCTTTATGTGCAAAAATGGGAAAACTCTAAATTAGACAATGAGGCCCAAGGCAGCCGTTGTTTCTGAGCCGTGTTTCTGACCACGATGTAGATTGAGTAACTAGAGAATTAATGAAGAGCTCACAGATAAAGGTGCATGCCTTGTTTTCATATGGTTTATTACTCGATGCACATGCTTCACTGAATAAATGACGACTGAGCATCAGCTATGTGTTGGGTACAAAGCTAAGAGTGGGGATTGAAAAGAAGAAGATTCTTTCCACCAGAATGCTGCAGGGTGGCGTGGTGGGAAAAGGAAGCAGACAGATGACGGCACCCCAGGGTGTGGGAGTGACTTCCCCACCGGCTGCCCACGGGGTCACCTGCACACGTAGCCTCAGAGCCGAGAGGGGTTCTCTCACTGGAACAGAACCGCAAGGCTCTCTAATTAATATCTGAGGAGCCCAGATTGCAGGAGAGTTTATCATTCTTGGAAAAGACTTAAACAGAATCCTTCAGAAGTTTGGAATTTTACAGATTGCACACAAAGTCATCTGTTTCTCTCCATCCCAGTTTAGAATTACTTCCTTTGCCTGTTGCCACTGAGATGAGACATTGTCACCACATTGATTTGTTTTCAAGGGAAAATGGGCAGAGCAAGGAGGAACGGGAGCACCTCAGGGGGGAAGAGAGACAGGTGTCTCTAACTCATGTTCTGAAATCACAGCACACAGACTAAAAGCCACGGAAGGACCACGAAAGGTCAAGGCTGAGTTCCAACCCTGGAAGGAGCCTGTCCTTCAAAGACAAAGTCCTCGGGGCTCTGGCTGTTCTTGGAACTGTCTTCCTGGCAAAAGAGAGGGATGGAGGGGAGTGCCAGCATCTTGAGAACAAACACTCTGGAATGTTCTAGACCTTTTCCTGCTTCCGCCCTCACCTGGCCTACACCCAAACCTGCCCACTCTGTGTGCCAGTTCCCAGGAAAGTGAGGCCTCGCCCTGCTGTGATTGGTGCTGCTGTGGACAATGTCACTTCTAGAGCCGCTGCCGTCCCCGGACTGTCACCGTCCTTCTCTCCCTGGGAGAGGCCCTTGGGCACCTGGTCCAGGGTCTGCCTCCCCCTTTCTCAACAGACCTTCGCTGGGGAGATGAAGGCGCCGCTTTCCAGATGCCCTTGGCCCTCCTCCCCCTGGGCAAACTGCTCTGACTTCTGGGCACTCGAGACCCCCAGACATCTCCCCTGCTCTCCTCGCCCGCCCTGGGCCTGGCCACAGCCCTCTGGGGGCCGCGAATGTCACCCCCACACCTCGGTGCAGCGCTGACCTTCAGGAGTCGGTCCACTCCGATGACAGTATCTTAGACGTGCTCCTACTCACACAAGCGAGGCCATCAGCGAGCATCCCGTCAACGATGGCGGGGAAGGCGGCAGTCCCTCCCCTGGCTCGCGGTCCGAAATGCCAAGCTCTCTGGTCACACATCCAGCCTAGACTCACAGGCAGCTCCCAGAGAGATGATGCCCGAAGAAACTCATTGAAATATAGGTTTCAATTGTGTGGGAAATTACTTCTGCAATTCAGCCAGCGAGCGCACACGTAACTGTGTTTTTTTTAATCTTATCAGGGTATGACAGAAATCAGAAAATGCATAGCTTTGCGGTAAGCGGCGTGTGAATGCACAAGTTATAAGGAGCCCTGTGTAGAGAATTTTAGGGTGTCGTCCCAAACCCGCACGTTCGCAGGGCTCATCTGAGAATCCAGGAGCCTCAGATCGCTGCAGGGTGGCTTATAAAACCCCATTAATTCTCCTGCCTGGAGGGGCAGACGGCAGGTTCCTCTCTCCGCACTGCACAGCCCCGTTCCCCGGGGCGCTCAGGGGAGCCCTTTGCTTTGGTTCAGTCTTTCAAAGTTGCTGTGAGGCTCCAAGTTTCTGAGAGGGACCTCCCAGGTCAGAGCCCAGAAGGAAGGGTTTCCAGCGGAGGCTCCACAGAAAGTGTGCACTCGCCCGCCGCGGAGTCTCGGCCATCGCGTTAGGACTCCATGTCACATAAAAGCCTAAAGGCACGATGGAATCGACTCCACCAGCTTCCAGATCCTCACACCCTTCCTCTGAGGGCAGCCCCCACCCGCCGAGACTCACACTTTCAGCCACTTGGGCTGAATGCCCAAGGGTGCCTCGGGCTTCTAGGGACTGACGGCCAAGTTAGCAGGTAAAGTGCAGAGCAGAGTAGTGACAGGTAACATTCCCAGGTAACATGTTCTTCGCCTACATCATTCAGTCAACCAGCCCACGTTGCTTTGCAAGGGGGAGCGTCACGGGTCCCATTTTATAGGTTAGAAGACTGAGGCAGAGGAGGAGGGGCCTGCCCGCAGTCACACAGCTGGTCAGAGGGAGAAGCACGGACGGAAGCCCATCTTCTCACCTTCCACAGCACAGCCGGACGGCAGGCAGCAGCACGTGCAGCCCGGCCAGCAAGTTCAGCTTCTCTTTCTTCCCCTCTGGTCACTTTCTGGTTCATATTTACTGTCAGGGGCAGATTCGGACACCTGGGTCACCTCCCAGCCCACAGAAGCTTCAAGCGTAACACATAGGTCCAGGTCCGATTAACCCATGCTATCAGGGACTTTTGTTCTTTTACACACACACACACACACACACACACACACACACGCAAAAGAATCCTGTAGTAGAATCCTATAGTATTTCCCCAATATCTGGTTCCCACTCCCTTGAAGTTAGGCATGGCCCAGAAGCCAGGTTTGGCCACTCGGTCATAGGCAGAAGGGACGTGTGAGTGACAACTGAAGCCAGAGCATTGAATTGCCGGAACTGGCCTCACCGGCCATCTCTCCTCCTGCGGCAGAGACCAGCAAAGTGCCTAAGGGTGTGCAGGGGCCCACAGCCACAGCGGCCGGGAACCGAGGGCAGCGGCCCTGGAAAGCTCTCAGACTCACAGAGGACCGTGCTGGGGAAGGAATGAATGAGCAGCCGCCACGTCGGGCAGGGGACTTTGTCGGTGTTTTTCACACAGCGTGATCTCACCTGTCCCGCCCGGTGCAGGAGCTGCACCTCGCACCATCAGAAACAGGGGAAGCAGCCCAACAGCCCGCCGAGCCACCAGGAAACGCGGGGATGTGCCCTCTGCCCAGGCAGGACCACACCCCACGCAGGTGCCAGAGGTTTTGGAATAAAAGTTTCCAAATGTTTCCCTGTCACTCGACCCAAAACTCTGCTCTTGGATGTTTATGCAAACGAAATCTTTCTCTGAGTGGGTAAGAAATTTCAAACAGAAGATTATTTTTCTTCCATGGTTGAAAACAGGAAAATTAAACAAACTCTGAGCTGACAAACTCAAATAACAGAAATGTTTAAGGAGGGAGTGTGAGGTTCAAAATGTGAAAGGATGTCAGTTTCCAAAATGATAAAATCTTTATTGAAAGGGACCATCAGGATTATTAATCCGACTTCCTAGTTTTATAGGTCAAGGCACCAAGGATTCATAAAGTGAATCCTCTCAACCGGGAAGGAGCAAAACCATTGCTTCAGCTTGGGTCCTCCGCTTCCAGTCAAAGTCCCTTCCACTCCACACCATGCCCATCGAAAGAGATGCACGTTTTGAGGTCGGGTCTCCTGTTTTATAAGCCATTGCTGTTTCCACTAAGGAATAACATTTATTGTCATAAATGTTATCGAATATTTTTTAAGTAATCTTGATGTACCCTGCAGCTCTAGACATAATTATGAGAAGTATAAAAAATATCCCATATGTGATTTTTGTCATATATGTAGATTTGTGTGGTCACCACCACAGTCAAGATACAAAACAGTTCATACAAGAATCTCTAGGCCGGGCGCAGTGGCTCACACCTGTAATCCCAGCACTCTGGGACGCCGAGGCAGGCAGATTGTTCAAGGTCAGGAGTTCGAAACCAGCCTGAGCAAGACCCTGTACTAAAAATAGAAAGAAATTAATTGACCAACTAAAAATATATATACAAAAAAATTAGCCGAGCATGGTGGCGCATGCCTGTAGTCCCAGCTACTCGGGAGGAGGCTGAGGCAGGAGGATCGCTTGAGCCCAGGAGGTTGCTGTGAGCTAGGCTGACGCCATGGCACTCACTCTAGCCTGGGTAACAAAGTGAGACTCTGTCTGGAAGAAAAAAAAAAAAAGAATCGCTTGTGCTATTTATTTATGGAAATAAATACACACACACACACACATACATGCACACACATCCCTGCATGCATGTAAAACTGGTGAAATCTGAACAAGGTGGATGGATTCTATCTCTATCAATTTCCTGGGTAGAGTGTAGTTCTACAAGACGTTATAGCCGTGTAACATTGGGGGAAACTGGGTGAAGGGCATATGTATCCATCCGTATTATTTCTTACAACTGCATAACAAACCGCAACGATCTCAAAATAAAAAGTTTTCAGAGACGTGTTGTGTAAGCGTCAGGATTAAACTTCTCTTAAGTGGTTGTGCGGGGAGCATCGCGATTTATAAGCAGAAGAGCCTCGCAGGGGCTCCAAGCGTGCTCGGGGCTCGGGTAGGCCGCGCAGATGTCAGTGGTCGGGGCGTGTGAGGGCGTGGGGAGGCAGGGAGGAGCTCCGCGTTGGGCCCTGGAGGGGGAGACCATTCCAGAAGCAGAGGGCGGTGCTGAGCTCAGCTGGGGTCAACGCCGGGGCACAGGGCGAGAATGTGAGGCTGTGAGTTTTACTTGAATTCCAATAGAAATAAAAATCAGGAAACACCCATGTGTGGTGCGGATTGTTTTCAAACTGTT